ATGAGTGGTACTATATTTCCCCTATAGTTTATTGTATAAGTCACTTTATAAGGCAAACTTTTAAAGAGTTAAGTAACTTGTACATGCCACTGTCAGAACTAGGCTTATGAGATGCTGACTGAACGGCGTATTTAAACACCCACCGAATGAACAATGTTAATTTTTCGCAAGGGTCGCAAACTTTTCAAATCCCACTGAGATATCTCAAATGGTAATTCCAACTCACTAAACAGTTCTTAAAATTACCAGTAAGCGAAGTTTTTGCTACATCAGGTTACGGAACGTAACATTAGGTAACATGAGGTGTACGGTGATTGGCAACTCAAAGTATTTCGAAGAAGAACTGTTGAAGAACCCGGAGTGATTTGGTCCGAATCCGTCTTAAAAGCCTAACGCTGTCTCTTCAGAACTTCACGTGCTGACGTATTGGCTATACGGCGCTGTGAGTTTGATACAGTTATCAATTACATCGTCGTCACTAAGTTTCAATGACATCCAGCTGCTCTCTAAATTAGTTCCAGTTCAAGGTGATGGCGTTTTTTACTCTATTGTATTCGTACTGCTAGAAATACTTTGACTCGCCGTTCCAGTTCTTTAAGACGAGTAAAACGATGTTGTAAAAATCTCAAATTTTTTAATTAATTATTTAAAAAATGTAGTCTTGCTCTTAAAGACTACGTTATCTAAGCGCTTATTAATGTACTCCTCTCAGTTAAGACTCCTCTTAAAGTCGAAAATTATTTTTCGCTTTAGTTGGAGTTTTCAGATAGGAATCGTTGCAAAAAGTTGATCATCTTCAGTCATTTTTTCAAATACAGTAGGAAAACTGTGGACGAGAAGAAATGTCTTTAAATTTTTTTTTAAAGCTTTTTGCTTTTCTAAATTTTTTTTAAAATTCTTTGAGAAACTCTTTTAGTATACAATTTCAAAACAATCAATATTTTTTTCAATTTGTTTTTTAGTTAAATAAATTGTTTGTTTAGATTTACTGAGCTGACTGTTTGCGAAATGGACCTAAAAAGGTACAGCAAAAATTTGCAACTGTTCTCAGAAATGGTGCTTTTGTTGATTGTCTGTAGAAGGTGCTTAAGTCTGTTTTTAAACCTAAAAAGAAAAATATCTGAAAACTTTTAACCGGTGAACCATCAGTATGTTTTTTGAAAGTTAAACTTTTCTGATATGCTTTTTTGAAACAAAATTTCTAAAACATTTCCAAGAAAGACTGGTTTTACATAAAAATTGAATAATCCTGAGTG